TGGGGGTGGGGGTGGGGATGGAGAAATCCATCTGATCTGGGCCCTCACAACTTCCAGGAAAAGGGATGGGAGCAGGGTTCCTAGTGGCCAAGCATGTAGTGCTAATGGTGGGAGATGTGGCACAATAGTGGGCCTTGTCTGCAGGTAATAGAGACCTCAAAGGCACATTACTGGCCCTACAGCTTTTGGTGGCACACTACACGTCGCTGAGAGCCCTTTGCCCTGTCTTGGTGATGGAAGATCATGGCCCCTCTGTACCTGTCTGGGGGCAGATCCTTGGGTCTGTAGGCTTGTTTCTGCTCCGAACACATGGGCCCATAGCCAATCTTGAAGTCTCCCAGTGCCACACTGGAGGAGTCCTGTGAGTGGACAAGGGTGGGAAGGGCAAGGCCACCCAGCCCCATCACTGCCCTCCCTGGCGGCAGCAGCAGGCTTAATTTACCCTCTTACACATCAGGGCAGGTGGGCCCATCAGGGCCTGGAACTGTGTCTGGTAGGAGGTCCCGACATCCCATTTCCTGCAGTCCCACTTGAGGGGGGAGGGGCCCTCTGAGGATGGCAAGATCAGAGAGAGAATGGGATTAGGGCCCTGTAGCCTCAGACCCACTGCAATTCGACCCCGTCTGGGAAGGGGAGGTGGGCTGTCTGGCAAACACCAAAAATAATAAAAATAACAAGAATAACTACCAAGTATTGAGCCAGATATCTAGGTTAAGTGCTTTACGCCTCGTTTGGGATGGCTGGTATTATCCGCCTCCTCCACTTTACAGCCTCTCAGAGGCTCAGAGAGGTTAGAAAGCAGATATTCAGCCCTGGCCAGTGTGGCTCGGTTGGGCATAGCACTGAAAGGTTTCAGGTTCGATTCCTGGTCAGGGCACATGCTGGGGTTTCCGGCTCAATCCCAGGTAGGGGGTGTGCGGGGGGCAGCTGATGTTTTACTCTCATATCGATGTTTCTTTCTCTCTCGCCCTTCCTTTCTCTCTAAAAAGCAACAAAAATTTATTTTATTTTATTTTAAAAAGCAAAAGAAATCACAGAAATTCAGAACCAGAACTGAGTCAGATCCAAGTCTGACAATCCCTGGACCCAGGTTGAAGGGACTCTGGCTAGTGATATCCACCAGCAGTTCCCCTGGAGTCAAAGAACTGGAAAATCACAAATGACAGCTGCTCTGTGTCGAGCACTCACGCCATGCCAGGCGCATCACGCACCCGGGGCTCTTTGCTCCAGCAGCTCCTGTGGGGCCCCGTTACCGCATTGGGTTTTTGAGGCTGTGAGAGGTCAACTGCTCCGAGTTACTCAAGTGCCAAGGCGGCAGGGCTGGGTGGCAGTGCGTCACTTAGCAGCTCTGTCTAAGCCCCAAGCCAGCATTCCTGCCTTCTGCCCACTGCACAGCCCCTGAAAGGAGCCAGGAGCTATGCCCATCCAGGGACTGTCCCCTCTGGGAGGGTGCAGAGTCGCCGCCCTCTTTGAGAGCCACTGGGTTGAGTGAAGAGCGCAGGGCGTCGGGACGCACTCACCGCGGCGGAGGCGGGACGCGCGGAGCTGCGGGCACGCGTCGCGCAGCGGGAAGAGCGCCTGGTGCGTGGTGGGCGGAATGCGCAGCTTGGCTCTGTCGCCGGGCGGCACCGAGTCGCGGTGGAAGATGAGGCGCGCGCCGGGGTTCTGCTCGCTGCCGCGCCCCGGTACCTCGGGCCAACCGAAGTCCGCGCTCGCGGTGGAGAGGAGGGGGCGCGGGCGCGCGTCCGCGCGCACGTGCACGTGGCT